ACATACTAATCCACTCAGAACTACCTATAAGTATATTACATAAACTCACTCAAGAGCTTTGACAGACATCTGTGATAGGTTCACACGCTGCCCCAACCACACAAATCATCTGTGTTGTCAGCATATGTTGAGTAGGCTGACAAAAGATTTAAAGCTTAGTATTTGATATTTTAGTACCTCTTCCCCTCCTCCTCCAACAATTTTTTACCATCTCAGTGGGTTTTTTTTTGGGGGGGAAGTGGGTGGATAAAGAAAAAAATTATTTAAGGGAGACTAGGTACCAACAGGACAGCAAATCTTAAAGAAACAGATACAATTACTCATGATCAACTACACCCTCTAGTGGCAGAACACGTTGTCACTTGGGTGATCCCAGCATGAGGCTGAGAGCTTCACATTTTTCTGTCCATGCCATTCACTCTTGGTTGCTGCACAACAAAACATATCAGTGAAGTACTGCTGCACAGTAAACAATCTGGGGTTTAGTCCCTTAGCTCTCACACCTAAGTGTTATGACAGGTAGCAATTTACACACAGCAATCCTCAAATACAAGGCAACTCTGCTACAACATACCCACAAACAGGTTCAAATCCCTTTGGTATTATCTTTCCAATTCACCAGTGCTCCTTCCAACTCTCCGCTGCAAATTTCTCCCCTCTTTTCCAAGCATCAGTCAGGCCCTCTGCAATTTCCCTGCCTCCTAGATTCACCCTTCAAATACTCAGTTCTCTCATATATACATCTTAGCTAAGCAAAACCAGAACATTGAAATGAACAAAACTCAAATACTGCAGATCATTCAGAACTGCATCTGTTACTCAACTAGCTGTTCCCAAGATGAAAGAGTCCCCTCCTCCCTAGTTTAGTTTTTCTATTGACAAGTATTCATATAGCACGCATGCCATTAAGAACAAACTATCTAAACAAATTCTTCTGGGTAAATTTGCAGCAGAGTAACACCTCTGTTCTCGCATCTGACTGCAACACATCAAACAACTGGCAGAAGAGAAAGAAAGCTTTTGTTCTACCTTCTTCTCATTTCTCACTTCATTGACTTTTTCTCTGAAAAAAGCTAAGTTACGAAAGCCAAGGCAATTGCAGGGCACAAAATTGGTCCCACGTTTCCTGCCTTACCATACAACTAACCTCCTTCCCTCCAAATAAAGTGCTCAGCCATGGCAAAAATTGCTTAAACAAAACAGTCTATAAAATTGTACAACCAGCAGCCAAAGCTGCGTTAAAATAACTGTCTCAAAGCATTGCTTAGCTCAGAGGTACCACCAAACCACACAATGTTTATAAGGCACTTCAGTCTCATAATTAATATAAGTCAGTCATGCTTCCAAGATTTTTCCACAGTCCATATTATGGTAAAAGATAGTTTTACTTAAAGACAAAACCCTTGCCAACACTCCCTGTGGCACTGAAAACGGACTCCAGATTTCTAGCCACAATGGGGATTTGATAAACTCAGTATTTCTACTTTAACACAAAGACAACATAACTTAAGTCACATCTCACTGCTTGCTGCAGGTAGCTGAAATTTATTTTCCTTGGTACCTTTTGATGTTGATAACGTATGTACACACATATTTAGAAGTCTATAACTGAAGGTCATATTGACCAAGTAAAGTCATTCTACCTGATTCTGAGAATTAAAAATAGAAGCAAGTCCTGTAAGAACTATACAAACGGTTATGGAAAACATTTCCATTTCCCTCAGTTTGTACTTACTACTTGCAGAACGAGAAATTATGCAAAGATCTCATTAACATAACTAAATCCAAGTTTCCTCAGTCATCTTGCAGGCTGGAATTCTTTTTTTTTCCTTTTCAAAATTAACTGGGATGAGATGGCTTGGGGATGTAGGAAACATCACCTAGACACCTCTTCACCTGTGCAAACTGAAGACATTACTGTTTCCTGTCTGCTATTCTTCCTGTAGATGACTAGCAGGAAGGCAATCATTCATACCTTAACTTTTAAAATAGAAGTTTAGTATGATGCCATGCCTGTAAATCAACCTCACTCTGTCACAGTGGCTGTAGTTACCTCTCTGGATAGCTAAGATTCAAGGACAAGATCAAGCCAATTCAGAGTGTAACTGGTCCAATTATCTTGGGAGATTAAGCATGCATTATCAAACAATATTATGTTTTTACGAGGAAGGGCTACACAGAAATGTTCCATAAGAAACTAAAGGACACCTGACAGTCAAAAATCACTACAGAACTATCAGCTGAAGAGTGTCACAGACTTCTTTATTAGTTAAGCCAATATAAAAGCTGCCAACATACCAAAAACTGGAAGATAAAATATTTTAAACAGATTAATTTTGATATTAAAAAAAGTCATCTTTGTATTTGACTTCTAAAATATTCAGATATACTCAGAAGAACATCTTAGTGAAAAGGCACTGAACAGAAGAATAAGTCTATAAATCTATCAGCAACAATTATCCTGAACCTGCTCCCCAGGACTGGAATTTCTTTTTATTAAGAAGTATCTATCTAAATAACAGAAAAGGACAGCTAAATATTTAACAACTAATCTGTAAGTCAAATAAGGCAACTGAAGGACTGAAAGTGCTCTGAGGTCCAACTCTGTCAACTGTTAACTGTATGGTGTGGAACGTGGTCCAGAAAGAGCAGCACAAAGTGTGTTAGAAGATCTCCCCAGGTCTGTCCTGACATGACACTGACCTAGTGGATTTTTTCCCTGGTCCAGTATCCAGTGACATTCAAGACAATGACAAGCTTCACAGCAAAAGCTTGTTCCAACTCTTTCATCGTAATCCACAGCACATAAATCACCTCAAGAGAAACTGTAGAGATAACAATGAAAAGCTGAAGAAAGGATTTCTCTTGTAAAAATTGCTGACTCGTGTAAAACTGTAGCTTTACTGAGTTTTCTTTATTTAACTAAAAGAGTTCAACTCTTCATTTAAGAAGATGCAGTTAAGTAACAGGCAACATACTTCAAGAGATCAGACAGGATTTCAGTATGCTTCAACTACTTCAAATGAAATATTGCACATCAAAACATTGTTTAATCAGTATCTATTGTGCAAATAAAACTTGCGTACACAGTACAACTTGTACTGTCCAAAACACAGACCTGAATGTCATTTAACTTTTGCTTAACCCGTGAACATGCTAGAACTTTCTACTTGCAGTAGGCAGAAACAGTCTATAGCTTATTTAATCATAACTATTCTTTCCACCAACGCCCTATTACCACAGTGCATAAAACCTATCTAATCTACAGATCAAAGGCACTGCTGTTGCCCGTCTCTTGCCAGAAGCTCTAGCAGTTTTAATGTCACAGGTACATTACCATGATGTACAAATATATGTTAAATGTCTTTTTCTGTCTGCAGAACAAACACGGACATTATATTTGGCCACTGATTCAATCACAAACGCTTTTAGCACGCATTGTTTCTTTCCCCAAAGGAATTAAATCTTCATTACCAGAATGCATTTTTACTGCCTGAAACCTATGATCTCACTGAGAAACATGCAAACTTTTAGCATGGAAAAATCTGACAGCTATAGATCCTAAATGAAGGTACCTAATTCACCTTACACATGGATAAACTACTTACCAGTTTTTTTTGAGATTACTATGAGATAATGCAAAATAATGGTAATGTAATAACAAAATAAGCAATTATGTGCAAGGGCTAGAAGTTAAAAAACAAAAAGAAGATTATTTTTTATATCTACATGCAAACAAAAGAGTACAAATCCGTCACTGTCTTTATCCTAAGGGAAAAAAAAAAAATGTGAAAGCAACCCTAAGTAACTCTACCTTATTCAGAAGATAGGACTTTTATACAAATGTTCCACTAGTCATTACAGAAAAGACACTGAATAAATAAAGTTATGTAAGGGCTGACAAGTGAAGCATTTTCTACGGTCTTTCATATGAACTATTTTCAAAAAAATATATAGTTACATAATATGGATTTAAGAGAGAAGACATCCAAATAGCAAGCTCTTCAAGCAGTTCAGGAAGAACACTAAGTGAAAGAAAGCAGCAAGTCTGGGCCTCGTGCACTGAGGATAGCTCTTCAGCTAGTGATAGTTATTATTACTACTGGCATGTTACTATTTCATATTGTGAAGAGTATTAAGAGCAAGATAACTAAATTCTGAAACAGAAGGCTTACAATATTGACTTGTTTGTACTTCTAAGCATACAGGTCACAAAGAGCAAGAATGTTCCAACCGTGCCATCTTCTGCTTAGTGAATACTTAGTCTCACTTAATAATGGACTCTGGCTGAACAGACCAGTTACTACAGGAAGCATATCAAGCTCTGATAAGTCTCCCTCCATTTCCAAGGAATATATACACCTCACAAGTTAGTGACTGAAAGAACTTCAATTTTTGTTTTAGAATGTATCATAATGGGGTAAAGAGAAAGGTTTTCAAAATGCAGGCATAAAAACATCAGAAGCCACCCAAGATCTTGGTAATACAGACAGTATGTACTGGTGTTTTTACTTCACATTTCCAAGTATACACCTAAAAACTTTGACACAGTACACAGCATCTGCTTCTAACCCACGTGAGAAGGTTTTATATTTTAATACACAGTGTGCAAAAATAAAAGGGTTATTTTAACTGAACACAGAAGATGACCTAAAATTGGAACCTGGACTTAAAGCTTCTCTGGTTAAAGCAGCTCTTGACAAACTGCACAAAAGCAACAACTATCAGCATAACCACTTCCATAACACAGACATAAACTGGGGTGAACACAGACAGTTAAACTGCATGTGCATCAACTGCAATTAAGAGAATTTTTCACGAATGAATACATTTGTTCATCATTTTAACAAAATAATGGTCTGGTTTTCAGAAGCATGTAGTAATGAAGAGCAAAAGTTATTTCTGAAAATACAACACTTCTGCTTTAAAAATCTACCTATGAATGTATACAGGGAAGGAAATACATATAGCATGCAGGTATATCACCATAGAGATCTTACAGTTCCTTGTGCTTCTCCTCCGCCAGAATTTGGTCATTTGGTTTCAGCCCATACCTTGGGGAAACAAACAACACAGAACAGTTAATTCACTTGAAATCATATCTTAAAAGCATAGTTTTATACTATGGTAAATTACTGAACTATGTAATATTTATTGATTTGGGTAGCTCTGACATTGCAAGGCAGCAACAAAGTTTTCAAAAGAAAATCTTGTATCTTCATAAGGTTTACCACCACACAACTTTTTTTTTTTATACCCAGCTTTGAATTAGACCAGACACTGACTTCCCATGTATCAAAAATTATTGCACTTGACATCAAAATCATAACTAGATCTCAAAATCTGAGTATTTCCCCTTTTACAAAATACAAGTATTACACCAAATACTTTTTTGTAGTTAAAGAAATAATTACATCAACAGGTCAGTTGAGGATCTGTTATTATGAGGACACTTTTCAAGCCCACATAGGACACACATGCAACAAGTCAATGCCTGAAAGCAGCCGTTTTTGCTAGCTCAAGCTGGCAGGCAGCCCCAGAAGCTGCTGCATGCACTGCAGGTTCAGGGAGCAGCAAGTGCTGCTGCTCCTGCTGCAGGCTGCATTGTCACTCACTGCAGAAAACCTTTCAAAAGTAACCACGCTGGTGTTGTGCCTCCAAACATTATTTTGCCATCTCAAACTATTCCACAGATCTAGCTACTGTTTGCTATTGCTTTTTTTGTTTGACAGCCCCCTGGGATGGAAGCAGCTAGAAGTAAGGAACATTCAGGGTAAATCTGCAAGCAGTAACTGCTCACCCTTCAGACTCCAAGAGCTCCTCACTGTCACTTTGCTCCCTGTTTTTGTCCCTTTCTGCAGTCAGGTGCAGAACCATAAATCACTCTTCAGTAAAGATTCCAGTCACTAACGACAATCAAGCTACCTTGCACATTGAATGTTGTTTCAAATAAGCCACTAAAACATTCTGCATTCCTTCTATCATTTACAGATAATATTCTCTGAAACTGTTTTTTTTCAGCATCCATTTAAAATGCAAGCATCAACCCCAGACACATTCTCAAGCTCACCAGAGCTGCATTCAGACATACCAGACACTGGCTAACTGACCCATTTTTCCTGTTCACATTTCCAGAGACTGCTTTCACTTATTTCCCATAGCACCATGCTGACTTACATCCATTTCTTTACGCTGTTGCTAAACCTAAAATCTTTGTGGAGGTTCTAGCCATTTACCAGCCTACTTCCTAATGCTGTAACACTACTCTGAACATATTTGTCATATTTTAAGCATTTTATTGATAGTAAATAGTAAGATACCAGAAAATAAAAAAACTACCAGGAAATTTCTGAATGAGTATCAGTCAGAGGCCAAAGAGCCATGTCCCAGGGCACATCTCTGACACCACAGGGAGCTGCGGTTCTGATAAGTAGTGCAGAAAGGACCCACTGCTTCAGTTCCCCTGGTGAACCTTATCTGTAGGTTTTCCATTACCTCTTACAGATACATCATTTGAAAATTCTAAATAATACATCACTTGAAAATTCTAAACCAATCAGAACAACACACTGCACAGGTATTTTACATTTGTGTCTACTATTAAGCTAGGAAGTGGAATAAAAGCAAATACGCTGCAAAATTGGACAAAGGAGCTGAAGACATGACTTAAAATTTCACAAGGCAGAGAAGAGCTCAAACTTCGGTATGTTTCAGAAATGGTTCTTCTGAACTCTTCGCTTTGTCCTTTACAACCACCTAATCTCCTCAGAGAGCAGCCAACATTCCAGCCACCTGCTTTTGGTGGGCAGCTGTACAGACACAGAGGGGACAGAAAGAGCCCCAGTGCAGCAACTATCGTCCTGCACAGCTGCCTGCTTCCCCACAGCACATCAGATGCCCCACCAGATAGGCACAGCCTGTGAGCTCTGCAGCTGGCCGTGCTGCCATCTGACTGACAGCCTTACCCACCTGAAGAAGACATCAGCTCTCCCTTGAAACTCAGTTCCTTACAGAATTTCTGAAGCCACAACAATCGTGGCTTAAGTTCCATAATTTCTCACACAAACTAATGTCACTCCAACATACCCTGTTATGATCACAAGCAGCTTGTCTGCAAATAATAAAAAAAATACACAAAAAAAACCCCACTGACCAGTATTCTATCATCCATCTCCTAGTCTCAGTTTAAACTACAAGTTTCACATCCTCTTACACTATTGTGATAATTGATTTTCTTTTTAAACAGAATTCTTTCCAACATGGTTACAAAAAAGCATGTTTACGCACTGAACTTCCCAGGAAAAAAATAAAAAATGAGCAAACTACTCCCTTGAAATTTCATCAAGAAACACAGACCCAGCTTAAGTGATCCTTTGGAACAGCATCTCTCTGTTGTTAGACCACAGCAGGGGTGGATCCAAGCTGCCCAAATCAGCCTGCCAAGTGAGATGATTGTAACACTTCCCATTAGTCCCAAGCAGGACATATTTCAGTGAGAGAGCTTGAAATAATTCTATGAAATTATCAAATATTTTTGCACCTTCCACACACCAAGCTTTCCCAAATCTCTCAATATTTTTTCCCATTATCAGAATGAATTTCTACTTTTGCATGCATATGACTTCACTGGCATTCACATACAGCATTATCATCTCAGTTTCAGTGTTTCCAGTAGTATTTTAATAAATGTCTGCTTTTCATTCTTTTAAAGCACTCTAGAACCTGCAAGCTCAGCACTGACTTTGAGCCGTGCACTTAAGAGATTCTTCTGAAATGGTATCCCTATAACTCAGCACTTTTTTTTTCCTTCTCTTTCACATTTCCCCTAATACAACAGGAATAATAACTAATAATAATAATAAAAATACTAATAATACTAATGTAATTGGACCATAGTCAGCAATTTGACAAAAATGCTTTTAATCCAGCAAAAATGCCCATAAGGCACCACCCAATTTAACACAGTCTTAACAAATTAGAAAGAAAAAGCCTATATTAAATATGGACAGGTAAAAAAAAAGCATCAAGTGAATACCAAGCTCAGATCTGCTCCAAATTGCAGAGTTCAGAGTGACAAACCAGCACAGACAAACACTGCTGCTTAGGCCACAAGAGTCAGGCACACGTCTCCATCACACAGAGCACTCAGAAACAAGGAGGTACACCAAGCTGTACAGACACACGTATCAGAGTAGTGCTCTCCCAAGTATTTCTCAAAAATCTAGAGATAAAAAGATATTTTCACATTAAATGCCAATAGGAGTAGTCAGTACTAAAAAGAACAGCACTTCTTTCAGCAATGCAAAAACAGTAAAGCATCCTGGGAAGCTCTGAACAAACATACAGCTTCACAGCCATCCCTCTGCCTTGTCTGATAAACAAAAAGCATGAACAGTACGCAGCTCCAACCTGGCTCCCCTTTACACGATCTCAGGCTTTGCTCTCTCATCAGCACCTTACACCCAACATGCTCTGCTGCAGTTATTGTTTTCACTCTCTCCCAGATATATAAAAATGGAAGGGACGAACAGTACATTTCTGACATGTTATTTGAACTTGACAGAAAAAAATAAAAAAGAGTGTGATTTTTCTTGTCCAGCTAGTACTGCTGAGGCCTCCAGGGTGTACTGAGTGGACATGACAGATTTAGAGCTGATGCTGTATTAGGCTCTGCTTCATTAATAAAAGAAGTAGCCTTTTGCAGCAGAGCTCTGCGGAAGCATTTCTTCCTAATTTTTCAACAAAGCCATTAAGAAACCTTAAGGATTTCAGTATAGTCTTCTTGTACCTAAGATTAGTCAGAGTGCATTTCCATAACAGTGATTCAGCAGTTATGTTGCTTCAGCTTTCAAATGATGTTAAGGCTCCTTTCACTTTTCTAAAAAAAGAAATGCAGCCCTTCTTCTGGTGGTTTTTCTTAATTATTAATCTTCCCAAACTAGGCCAAGCAGCCAGCAGGACCGCAGCACTCATGGGCTCTTTTTTAGGCCACGTGAGCACTACTGACCAACACCATCAATGCACCCCACAAGATCTCACAGGTCAGAAGTGCAGCCACGTGTAAGCCTGCTGCCATGATCAACCCCTGAGCACTTAGAGGCCAGTGCACAGATCTGGCCCAAACTCCCAGAACATCTCTAGCTGATGTGAACCATGAGGGGATGGGGACAGAAGGTTTGCTCATTTCATTTCCTTCTGCAATATTTCAATTGAATGAGTGATGATGCTCTCACTGCTAGCTCTGTTTCTCCTGATGGGGGCTGCAGACAGATAAAAAGCCAACTGCTTTTCCAGCAGTTGAATGCTACTTGCATCATGGCAATTTTTCTTCATTTTTGACAAAGCTGCAGTTTATTGTAAGTATTATTACAGCCTAACATAGCCTTAATGCTGCTGATTAGCCCAGACATATTTTCATGTCTACAAACTGGGAGCACAACTTCAATCTATCAGGACTGCTACATTAAAGTTGCTAACCCGGATTTTAGGGGCTGTGCCTTTTCTAAATCAAGCTGAAAACAAAAACCCACAACCCAGACTACGCCTTACACAGATATTCAGCAGCCAAATGCATCACAAATCAGACACAAACAGCTAACCCAAAATTAAAGTTCTCTGTAACTGGCACACACACCTACTCCAAATATTTATTTTAAGACATCATTTTTCTCCATAAACCACCCCAATAATGAGCTTTGATTCATATCCTCAAAGTCACTGCCTCCTGTCTGACTTGCACTGCTTTTCTTCTTCCCAGCAGTGCAATACATTTGCTTTTTCATTCCTTCCTTGTATATTCTTCCGTTGCTTTGCTATCTTCTCCCAGCTTCATTATCTGAAAGGCACAGTGCTTCCCATTTCCCCACAGTTTCTCTCCCATTTGGCATCTCATTTTGCATCTGTGCAGCTTCTCACACCTAGCTTTTCACATGCTCTTCCTGGCCTCAAGCTGACTGCAGACCCTGCACCCCTTCAACACAGACTTTTGCAACAGCTGGTTACTGTTACTCTAGGATGACCTGATACAGGTTATACAATTTTAGAAAGTATCCTT